ATGGAATCTCTCTCTGTCTCCAGGCTGGAGTACAGTGGTGTGATCTCAGCTCACTGCAACCTCAGCCTCCAAGGTTCAAGTGATTACCCTGCTTCCGCCTCCTGAGTAGCTGGGACTACAGGCCCACACCACCATGCCCGGCTAGTTTTTTGCATTAGTAGAGACAGGGTTTCACCATGTTCGCCAGGATGGTCTCGATCTCCCGACCTCGTGATCCGCCTGCCTCCCAAAGTGCTAGGATTATAGGCGTGAGCCACCGCGCGTGGCCAACCAGGTACATTTCGGTATCCTCCCACTTATACCTTTCTTGGGGACTGGCATATAGTTGGAACTCAATAAATGCTTGGACCTGAAAGGAGGATACCAAACCTACCTTAATTTGGCAGTCCAGCTGCTTACCTGCCCTGGGGCAGAAATGTCTGCTTTTCCACAATCCCTGAAGAATGACAACCCATTACTGGTTTAACTTGTGCCTAAAATGTCTTCAGAAACCTTCCACTGGAATTGTAAAGCTGAATGTTCTTATTTTTAAGACCATACAAGCATCCGAACTATTGAAGAATTGGCTGGAAAGATAGAATTTGAAAACGAATTGAACCACGTGTGTGCTCATTGTCAAGATTCATCCTTCAAGGAGGAAGCCTGGGCCCTGCTTGTGGACAAGAGTCCTCAGAAGGCCTCAGATACTGACCCTGGCAGCCTCAAACAGGCTTTTGATGATCATAATATCATTGAGACTGTTCTGGACTTGGAAGAGGACTACAATGTGATGACCTCTTTTAAATATCAAATTGAGTAAGGACAGTTGATCTAAGCCTTACAGCAGGAGGCAGCTCTTGAGCCTGAGCAGAGGCAGCCACAATGGCCATCAAGGGCCACATTTCTCAAAAAGTTGGCAGAACCTGAATTACCAGACTGTTTTTAACTCCCAGTTGTGTCCCTTTTTAAGCTGTGAGACCAGTTTTTGAATGCTATTTCTTTGAAGTGTTTCCTATTGTTATTATTTTTTTACTTGACATCTTGAATGTGTTTTTTTGATTGATGTTCAGTATACCCAGTATCCAAGGTAGGTGTGGGTTGTGGGCCTCTGCTGTGTCTCTTGGTGTTCTTTTCCATGGGCCCCTAAAAAATACAGGAGTGGCCAGGTACAGTGGCTCACACCTATAATCCCAGCACTTTGGGAGGCCAAGGCAGGAGGTGGATCACTTGAGGTCAGGAGTTCCAGACCAGCCTGGCCAACATGGCGAAAACCCATCTCCACTAAAAATACAAAAATTAGCCAGGAGTGGTGGCTTGCACCTATAGTCCCAGCTACTCAGGAGGCTGAGGCAGGAGAATTGCTTGAACCCAGGAGGCGGAGGTTGCAGTGAGCCAAGATTGCACCACTGCACTCCAGCCTGGGTGACAGAGCAAGACTCCGTCTCCAAAATAATAATAATTTAACTGGGCATGGTGGTTCATGCCTGTAGTCCCAGCTACTTGCGGGGCTGAGGCTGGGGGGATCACTTGAGGCCAGGTTGCAGTGAGCTGAGATCGTACCACTGTACTTCAGCATGGGTGACAGAGTGAGACCCCATCTCAAAAAAAAAAAAGGAAACCGAATCTCAGGGAAGTGCCCACCTCCTGAGCTAGTAAGAGAGGAAGGAATATAGGGGTGAGGGAGAGCTGGCAAAAGGTTGTTTTTTTGTTTAGGTTTTAAAGACTAGTGAAGTTAGTATAAGAACTGGGGAAAGAGTAGAATAAGGAGTTAGATCCATAAGTGTGAATAGTCAATTGAGATAACTCACTACCTTTGGAGTAGCCAGGGCTGTTTATAAGTGCTAATATCTGAACAAACCAAAAGTTGGGGAGAAAGGGCTAACAGCTGAGTGACTGCCTGACAGGTTATCTTTTAGGCCAGTGACTCTGGCACAGGGAAGGCTTCCCAGCCAGCAACACCCCTTACCACAGGTCTAGTGATTTCTTTGGGCTCGCAGGTGGAGGCTACACACCCACTCCTTAGCAGAGCTTGGCCTAGCACTGCTGGTGCCTCAAGAACTATGGCATGGTTAGACCCTGGCCACTTGACTGGATGTGACTCCCCAGTGGGCATGGCCTGGTTCCCAACCAGTTATGGCCACTGCCACTGCTCTGTCTGGGACAGTAGTCGAGTTCAAGGCTAACTAAAGGCTCCTTCCAGGCCACCTACCACTCAGTCCCTGCAGGAGGTAGCACGCTCAATAAGCATTCACAGCCTTTGGAGTCAGAGGCCAATTTCTTCTCCCTGAGCAAGAAGAATGGAAGCAAATGAGAAGTGCTCACAGCATGCTTCACTGCCCCTGCTCAGGTGAAGAATAGGCTCTCTGGATGGAGAAATGTCAGGCTAACTTGATATTCAGAAAAACAGATCTCAAAACAATGCCTTCCAAAGAATACATATGGATGTGGATGCATACTCTCCTATAGATGAAGTGGAGCTTAATTCCTGTCCTTCCTCTCATATTTCCCACCTCATTACCACCCTTTGAAGATGAACTAGACTTAGTGATTCTTCCCACGACTAAAGTAGGAAAAGTCACAAACTTATAGTGGGGAAGCCTGGCAAATACCTAACCAAGTGATGTCATGAGAGGGGTGCATTACTTCTGGTATTCCTACCAAAAACCCAAATTCCCAGTATATGATCGTGAGACAAATGTCAGACAAATCCAGACCTGAGGGATATTCTACAGGATACCTGCCAGAACTCAAGACTGTCAAGGTGGCCGGGTGCAGTGGCTCATGCCTGTAATCCCAACACTTCGGGAGGTCAAGGCAGGTGGATCACTTGAGGTCAGGAGTTTGAGACCAGCCTGGCCAACATGGCAAAACCCCATCTCTACTAAAAATACAAAAATTAGCCAGGTGTCATGGCATGTACCTGTAGTCACAGCTACGCAGGAGGCTAAGGCAGAAGAATTGCTTGAACCCAGGAGATGGAGGTTGCGGTGAGCCAGCATCCCACCACTGCACTCCAGCCTGGGCAACAAGCAAGACTCCGCCTCAAAAAAAGAAAAAAGAAAAGAAAAAAGGAAAAAAAAAGACTTGAAGTTATAAAAAATAAGGAAAGGCTCGGGCTGAGCATGGTGGCTCACACCTGTGATCCCAGCACTTTGGGAGGTCAAGGCAGGTGGATCATGATGTCAGGAGTTCAGGACCAGCCTGACCAATATGGTGAAACCCTGTCTCTACTAAAAATACAAAAATTAGCCAGGTGTGGTGGCACAAGCCTGTAGTCCCAGCTACTTAGGAGGCTGAGGCAGGAGAATCACTTGAGCCCAGGAGGCGGAGGTTGCAGTGAGCCAGGATCGTGCCACTGCCCTCCAGCCTTGGCGACAGAGCGAGACTCCATCTCAAAAATAAATAATTAATTAATTAAGGAAAGACTCCAAAAATTATCAACAGGCCACTAAAGACTAAGGAGACACAATGGCTAAATGCAACACAGAATCCTGGAGTGCATCCTGGAACAGAAAGAGAACATTATTGGAAAAACTGATAAAATTTGAATAAAGTCTAGTGTTTAACGAGTTGATGTTTCTTAGTTTTGATAAATGTGTCAGAGTTCTGTAAGATGTTAACATTGGAGAGCCTGAGTGAAGGGTATATATGAGGTATCTTTTCTGTAAATCTAAAGTTATCCCCAAACTAAAAATGCACGTAATTGCACTTTGGATCAAGTGGAATTGATCCCAAGTTTGTGATAATGTGTATGAGCTCACATGTGCAAAAAAACTGTTGGGAGTAGTGGATAAGAGGGTAGTCTTTCTGTCAAATGTATTTTCTAATTTATCTGTAATGAACGTGTCGCTTCTGTAAAGACAAAAGCTGGGTTTTTTTTTTGTTTTTTTTTTTTTTTACTATTTTGTCCTTTTTTTTACATTTCAGAAATAGCATTTTAATTAGTTACTTATTCATATTTTTTTTTTTTTTTTACTATTTTGTCCTTTATTTTACATTTCAGAAATAGCATTTTAATTAGTTACTTATTCATAGAGCTGTGGATGGCACCCCCTTTTTTTTTTTTGAGATGGAGTTTTGCTCTTGTTGCCCAGGATGGAGTGTAATGGCGTGATCTCAGCTCATCACAACCTGCACCTTCTGGGTTCAAGCCATTCTCCTGCCTCAGCCTCCCAAGTAGCTGGGATTACAGGCATGCGCCACCACGCCTGGCTAACAAAAGCAGTTTAAAAACACCCATCTCCAGTCAACTAGCCACAGACATCCTTCACCAGGTACCTGTCCAGACTCGACCTTCAGTTTCTGGAGTGGAGCCTAGTGCCACAACAGGAGGGCTTGGCAGGACCGTGACTCGGGGGCCGTCATTTTTTGGGGGAGCTGGATCTGCAGGAGCTGGATTCTCTAGGTCTGAAAGAGCTGTTTCTTAGGAGCTCAGTTAGTTCACTGGTTTACTGGTCAGGGCCTGGCCCCTACCAGGTGGGGCTTTGCAGAAGTGCCTGTATTAAATGGGGTTCTAGCCAGGCTTGGTGGCTCACATATATAATCCCAGCACTTTGGGAAGCCAAGGTGGGTGGATCACTTGAGGTCACAAGTTTGAGACCAGCCTGGCCAACATGGTGAAACCCCATCTCTACTAAAATTACAAACATTAGCCAGCATCGTGGTGCATGCCTATAGTCCTAGCTACTCGGAAGGCTGAGGCAGGAGAATCGCTTGAACCCAGGAGGCAGAGGTTGCAGTGAGCTGAGATTGTGCCGCTGCACTCCAGCCTGGGCGACAGAGCAAGACTCTGTCTCAAAAAAATAAGTAAATAAATGGGGATCTATCCCTAACTCTAGAAGACTTTGAAATGGATTTATTTTTTTCCTACCTGGAGTAAAGACTTGGGAATAAGGGCCCAGCACAGGGTGGGGGTGGAGAAGAAGGGAGAGTACAGGCTCTCCCTGGCCTGAGAGACAGGTATGCCTTTGCTTAAGCAAAGCCTTTATGTAAAAATTCAGATTTGCCAAACAGGCAATTCACCCTGGAATCCTTGAATGTGGAACTTTTCCTCACTATAGAAATGTAGCTGTACAGTCAAGCAGGTGAGCCCTGAGCCTCCCCATGCCAATGCCAGATTAGTAGGGAGTGGGCATATAGGCCTCCTTATTTCCCTGTGACATAGACTACTCCTGTCTCTGCATCTCAGGCTCTCTGAGGTGCCCAAGAACTTCCCACCTTCATCATCTGTGTCTAGGCAGTGAGCAGATGCATGCTTATTTGCTCATAACAGGGTTTAGGGAGCTCTTCTCCAGGGATTTAGTTGAAGGGGGAACAGAAGCCCAGAATTTTAATAAAACTTCCTTAGGTTTGCAAGGAGTTAGGACCAAAGCCTTCTCAGGGAGACTCGATAGTTGACCTTGGTCATGACTCAGAAACTTAAAATGTTTTACATCATTCAGTTCTCTTCCGACAGTTCATCTTGGCAAGCCAAACAATCACTGAATTGTTTCCGTGGAAACACCAAACCGCAATTTGGATTACCAGAATCAAAATAGAAACAAGACAGCTTCAAAAATAAATAGCATTGGAACTTGCTAGTCACAAACTGCAAACTCAAGCCATAGCACAAGGCATATGAGAAGCTGGACTCATCCAACCCTATGACAAGAGGTTTCCAGGATCCATGGCTGCATCCCACCAGTGTTCATGCCAAAGCCACTTGAAACCAGGGTTGTAAGCCAACCGATGAGAAACTTTGTAACAATACTGAAGGGAGGAGCTGGTCTTTAGATGCTTCTAGAAGGAGAGATTTTCGAGCTGGAGGGGAAGGCTGAGAAGAAATGGCAGGAACAAGGAGAGAGATAAGTGAATGATGGAGTGAAGTTCCAGCAGGGAGCACAGAGTCACAGCTGAGGCCCGGGAGAAAAGCAGCAATTCTTCCAAAGGGGCAGTTCAAGACGTCTGGCTGCAGGCTGGAAATAATGACCCTGCCCTCAGTTCATTCGGATTCCTGTGTTCCCCACACTCACAGGCATCACTGCCTGTGTAGCTACATGGATCTGTTTCTAGATTCTGAACTCTTGCCACTTGAGCTCTGGGAGCACTTACATTAGCACACCTCTG